CACTGTTGCTATGTATAACCACATAAATATATATTTTGAAGTAAGTGAGGGTTTACTATTTATTGATTAGTTTTAAGAGAACTCACTTCATGTCACATTTGAACCAGTTCATCCCTTTTTGACAGCTACATGAGACTCCATTCATCAAATGTACCCTGATAGAGTTAAACAAATCTTCATTGGTTAAGAGCTTTGCACTTTTTTCTTTGGATTATACTCAGATTGCAACACTATAATTCAAAGAAATATTTTCAGATAGCTTTATTTCTCAGAAGTAAGGAAGTGTTTCAGAAGAAAACTGGAAACCTTGGGGTTTAGTTCTGAATAGAAAATATTTCCTTGTAAAGCCGAGATTTGTATTGATCTTTGCTAATGAATTTCATTCTATCTTTTGGTTTAAGCAAGTATTTATAAAGGCTTTTTGTAGTCTGTGGACAGACTAAATGGAAGTGTTGATTCATTTCTCTAGTGTTGATTCATTTTGAAAACAAAATTTCAAATTTGTTTGTAGAAGAGACTTTGAACATCAGGTGTTAGTTCTAGGACCATCAGGAACTTCTAAACATGTTGAAAAAAGTAGAAAAAATTGCAAATAAACTTAATAATGATGTCAATGTAGTGAAAGGACATTGTCTGAAATTTAAAGTGGTATTATTTGCCTTGGTAACAAGGAATATGTATGAGATACGACTCTGCTGGTGACTGAGAAGACAGCAGAGTGACAGTATAATAGTTCACCTATCAGCCTCTTCTCTGCAAAGGATTAGCAAGTAGTTCATCTCAGAAAGAAACCTGTGCTTTCTGGATGTCACACCCCTTTCCAGTCCTCCATCCTTTCAGGACCTAACTGCTGATTCACTTTCGCTTGATCTTAGCCAAAAGACCTAGAGGCATTTGCACTTTGTATCTGTATGGAATGACGTATTGTAGACAGTACACATATGTGGATGCAGACAGTTAGCAGTTACTGACTTCTTAACCCTCATAATGTTTTCAAGATCCAGTTGTAGCACTGTATTAGTAGTTCATTCTCTGGATGACTGGATATTTCATTAAATGGGTAAACTACATATTGTTTATCTGTTTATCAAGTGATGGTCGTTTTAGTTATTTCTGCTCTTTGGCTTTACCAGTTACCCTGTGTTAAGATGTACAAATTGTTGTGTGGGCATAGTGCTTTCATTTTTCATGGTGTATACCTAGAGTATTTCTGTGTCTTACATTGGGTACTCTCTGTTTATAATTGTTATATCTTCTGATGGCTTATCATCATATAGTGTCATTCTCTACTGTTAATAACATTTTTGTGAGAGTCTTTGTCTGGTACAGTATTAGTATTTAGCCACTTCACCTTTCTTGTGGTTACTGTTTGCATGATACATTTTCCCCCATATTTGAATTTAGTTGTATGTCTGAATTTAGAATGTGTTTAATGTAACAACATATAGTTTGATTTTTTTTTAATAATGAGTATTTTTTTCTCCTGATGTTTTCAAGAATTTCTTTTATTATGAATATTGTTATTAGGATGTGTTTCTTCAAGGATATGTTTATATTGATCCCTATTAGTGTTAGAAAGTTTTCAGTCATTCTTTGGATACTTTTCCATTCCATTTTCTCTTTTCTCTCCTTCTGTATGTATGTTATACACACACACACACACACACACACACACACACACACATTTATGTGTTCAATGGTTGTTCAGTTTCTACCATTTCTTTTTTGTTGTATTCATATTGCATAATTACTATCACTCTGTCTTTAAGTTTTTCTTTTCTTTTCTTTTTTTTTTTTGTATCAGGGATAGAACTCATGACCTCACTCTTGCCAGGCAGGCGCGTAAGCCACTGATTTAAATCCCTGGCTAAGTTTTTGTTTCCTCTGTCAATCATATGTGTTTTTGTGGAACCCCTTAAGCTCCAGAATTTCCACTTGATTCCACCAACCACTCATGAATAGTTCAATTATTTAAATACAGATGACCAAAAATTGCATTTTTTGTTTATTTTTCATAAGATAACAGAGAATCTAAAAATGAGAATTTCATGAAATTTATTCAGTATGAGAATTGACTGGTTGAAGTAACATCTGCCCAAGGGACACTCTGGATAGTCAATACATAAAGGTGGGATGGGGACATAGCTTGGTGGCATATGTGCCTTGCAGGCACAAGCAAGGTTCTGAGTTATATTCTCAGTACCAAAGAACAAAACAAAACAAAAAGCCACAGTGCTTGGGGTAAATTGTTAAGTGTCACTTCCTTAAGAGATAATCTTTATTGACATTACCAGATGCCTTTCTTTACTTTGAAAATCATGGTTTATTACAGTCTTTTGAGCACATGTATGGTGACTACTTTGAAATCTTTTAAAATTTAATATCTGTTTACTTCACAGGCAGTTTTTGTTTGCTTTTCCTCCTAGCATAGAGCTCATACTTTGTGTGTGTGTGTGTGTGTGTGTGTGTGTGTGTGTGTGTGTGTGTGTTTTGTTGTTGTTGTTAGGAACTGGGTATTTTAAATAACATGTTGAAGCAACTCGATATGTTGCCCTCTCCCTGCAGAGCTTGTTATTATTTGGATATTATTTGTTTGGGGACTGGCCATGTTATTTTAGTGAGGTCTGTACCCTGTACGTCTTTGCTTTGCAGTGTTGATGCTGTGATGTTGTTCTTCTGGGGATGCAGCCATAGTCCTTTGAATGGCAGTGTGACCAGGCTCTCTTATTCTTTCCCTGTCCACACCTAGCATGCAGGTTGTAGGATGGTTGTTTTAGTGTTTTCAGTAATGCCCTACGGCATAAATTGCTGTGCAGATTAATCCAATGAACTACTTACAAAAGATAGACTACTTAGAAGAGATAGTTTGAGATAGATGGGAGTGCGGATAAAGGAGGAAGGGAAGGAAGAAGGTAAGGGGGTGGGGGGAGAGAAGTGGGGGTTGTGTCCCTCTCCAGTGTCCCTTTCCCACGTTAGAGAGAGAGAGAGAAACAGACAGACAGACCTTCTCCAGTATCCTTTCCCAGGCTAGTTAGAGAGAGACAGACACTAACTGACCCTCTCCACTGTCCCTGTCTCAGGTTAATTAGAGATAGATAGACAGATTGATCTCTTCTCTGTCCCTTTCCCATGCTAATTAGAGAGAGAGTCAGGCAGACTTTCTTCAGTGTCCATTCCCATGCTAATCAGAGGCAGAGAGACAGACCCTCTCCAGTGTTCCTTTCCAGTGGGGGGAGGGGGGAGAGGTGAGACCCTTACAGGTCCTGGTTTATCCTGGTAGACTTGTGCCTCTTGGCCATTTCAGTCAGCTGTTATATGGAAGAGAAGCAAAGATGTTCTCTGAAATTAAGAAAGTCTTGAGGTGTGTATCCAAGAGTAAGGAAAGGATGCTCATATAAAAGTTTGTGCATATGTTCATAGCAGCAGTATTCCTAGAAGGCCAAAAGTGGAATCCCAAATGTCTGTCAACTAGTGAATAAGCAGAATGAGTTATAACATACAAGAGAATTAATATTCGGCAATTTAAAAGAAATACTAATATATGCTATCATGTAGGAGAACCTTGAAAATGTGCTAAGTGGAAAGCCAGTCACAAGACTACTTGTTGTGAGATTGCTTTTATATGTAATTTTCAGCATGTGGTAATCCATATAGACAGAAAATAGATTCATGGCTGCCTATGGCTAGGTTGTGGGTATAGAAATGGAGTGTGGCTGTTAAATGGGTATAGTTTTTTTTGATGGGGAGATGAAAATGGTCTAAACATAGATTATAGTGATTGTTTTGTATATTGATGAATATAGTAAGGGTTGAATTCTGTACTCAAGGGAATTTTGTTATCTAAATTACACATCAAAGATACTAAAAAGAGAAATTTAGTCACTTTATTTTAAATTTTATGAGACATGTTTGTTTTCCATTAAAGTATTAATCATGCCAAACTTGCAGAGCTTTAATGATCGTCTAAGTTTTAAGAGTTTATACTGTATAATCCCAGTCAGAAGTCATGTGTATCTGTGGGCAGTGTATTGTGATCTGATGTAATTAATTAACTTTTTAGGAATCATACTAGTTTTTAATACCGTCTCATACATTGATAAATTGCTCTAGGTAGGTCATAGATTTATTGGTGGCTTTGACTTTTGTGATACTTTTATTTCTAGGTTTGTGAGTTTACAATTTCCGTGATTTCTTTCTTAATACTTTTTAAATTGTTTTTCAGAAATGCTAAAAATATTAATTTCTACATCAGAATCATAAATTAAGAAAGCTTAGCTTTGTTGAATGAATTATTTTTAATCCTACCCACATATTTTGGCATATTTAGGTCATGTGCTTATGTTTGCATTATTTTTTATCTTTCCTGATACCTAGCTTCTCCATGTATAATAAGAGAATGTTTGTTTCATTGGTGGTCCTCTTGTGCTAAATATTTATGATAGCTTGTCTCTGAATATGTTTTTTTATAAGGATATCTCAGTAGTACTTTTTTCTTTGTATTTTCAGGAAAAAAGGGATAGTAATATTTCCTCAAATTTCTTTTATTATCTTAGGTTTTCCAGAAGGTTAGGTTCTTTTTGCCCCAGTAAATTGTTTTCACAATAAAATTAGGCACAGATATCAAGGAAAAAATCTGTCTTAATACCTGGGATGTAAAATCTGTTGTTTTCCCATTTTTTTTGTGTGTGTTTTACTAAGTTGTAATACTTTAAAAACCATTTAAAAGTAACCTTCTTAAGAAAGGTTGCTTTAAAACGTTTTAAATATTCATGTGTAACTAACAAAAGCGTATTCTAAAACCTTTTTTAAGAAATTATAAAATCTGCTTAATTATCTAAAAAAAGAACATTAATAGCTATTATTCCCCAAATAGAATAGATTAAATAGACTTAAATATGAATAGTAGAATGAATTAATAAAATAAATAGATTAAATAGATTTAAATATGGTATAGAAACTTGTCATGTGATATATTGGATTATTCCCCCCTTCTTTTTCAGGAACTCTTGGTGTAATAACAGAAGCTACAATAAAAATCAGACCAACCCCTGAATACCAAAAGTATGGCTCGGTAGCTTTCCCTAATTTTGAACAAGGAGTAGCCTGTTTAAGAGAAATTGCAAAACAGGTAAAAGAAAAAAAAAAAAGAAAAAAGAAAAAAAAAGATGTACATTTTTATATTTTTAAAATTCTACTGCATAATTGTGATATGTTATGAGTAATCTTCGTATTTAGTTGTGCTATGTTTTTGTGTTTTTTACTCAGCTCTGTATGAAAAGATAGTATTGTAAAATCATCCCTTCAAGTGCAGTTACGATTTGTTCCAGTAATTGTATTATCATACCTATTTCTTGGTTTAAAGAGGGCTCTGTGATTTTAAACCAAGGTAAAGTATATACTTGGATTGATGGTCATTTGAAGGATTCTTTCACTGAGTGTTGTGTTCTTAAAGTGTTTTTGAATATTTCATAACTAACCGAAGTGTTATTTATCATAAATTCAGACATTTATTGAAATCAGAAGTAATGGCTCATTGTCATTTACCCCAGAGCTTAGCAATTAAATATAAATGATCAAACTTCACTATATATAGAATGTACGTCTAGACTCTACCTTGTTTTATGTAGGCTAATAAGTAATACAATGCAGTATAGCAGATAGAACAGTATATTTAGCTGTAAGCTAGAAAGAATTCCCATTTTTTTGTCCCTTATTTAAAATGTTACATTATTAAAGTTTTTAAAGAAACTAAATAATGCAGGTAATCTTATTCCTGTATTGTTTTGTGTATTAGCGTGGAATTGCTGTGTTTCTTTAGGAATTTGTTTACTGTTTGAGCTGATAGTTGTTTGAAGCATAATTCTTGTTGCAAGAATGAAGAGAATTTACTAAGCTCTTCTTGATTTTTAAACATTCCTAGATTTCTTTAGTACTTGTTATCCAACATGCTCAACTAGACTCTGTGGACAAAAGAGATTTTTTTTTTATTTTTATTTTTTTAAGACTAGTCAAGTGCAGTAGTGAGAAGGGGGGAAAGAGTAGAACAAGGAGTTCAATCTGTACTGACTGTGAACAATCGAGATAACTCACTACCTTCGGACCAGCCAACAAGAGATTTTTAATGTGATCCCTCTGAGTTACTTCTAGGCTGATAGGTAAGCAGGGTTGAAGTAAACACTAATGAAGCAAAGGAAAACTCTCTAGCAAGCAGCCCATATTATTGTGGCAGAGTCTTACTTCCCCCCATCCCAAGACAACCATTTTTAATGTTTATAGAAATTTAAAACCAAAAAAAGTGAGATTTACTTATATGTTTAGTATTTCTAATGCTCTTATTGTATATATTCAGTTTTACTTTTGTGTGTGTGTTTGGTTGTTTTGTTATTGTTGTTGTTGTTTGAGATAGCATCTCGCTATGTAGTTCAGGCTGGCCTTGAACTTAACTATGTAGCCCAGGGATCTAAACTCTTGGTGATCCTCCTGTGTCAATCTCCTAAGTGCTAGGATTACAGAGGTGTGCCACGATGCCCAGCTTCAGTTTTGCTTTCTGAAATGCTTATTCTATCTTACAATCTCCCGTTTCAAGAAGTTAGGTTTATAATCATCTAATTTAACAAATGAATTTTATAATTTTCAAGTAGCTTTAGTTATCAGATTGCTAGACTTGGCAAAGGTCCCTTAATCGCCTGTCTCCTGGGGTAGGGAAAGATTCAAAAGGATGTATGATCCTGATGTGAAGTGTTTTGGACGTGGTACTTTGGTTCTATTAATTTGGAAGTAAGTGGTAACAGTTGAAATCCTTTCATAAGATCTCCTAACTCACTAGAACTTTAGGGGACGTATAGTGACTGGGGAGTTATTGTAGTGAGTGCTACATCATGTTTGCTAGAATGATGGAGGGCAATAATATTTAAAGTAGAATTATTAAGTGAGGATATGGGAAGTAAGTTCTAGGAGTAAATAATACTTGTTATACTAAAATAATGTCTGAGCTCTGAGCAGTGACGTTCAAGTGTGCTGATACTTGTTCGTGAAATTTCCATCACTTAAAGACCAAGGAAACTATAGTAACATCAAATTTAAGATAGCCTCTAAATATTTGAATTAAAAAATTCATTTATAAAGCTTTATGGTTTTGCATGTGAATTAGTGTCTGGAAGAATGGGAACTAGAGTGTTTACCTAGCACGTTGGAGGGCCTGGTTTCAGTCTCCAAGACACACACACCCTCTCTGTCTCTCTCTCTCTCTCCAAACAAATAAAAACAAACCCTACACTGGATCTATATCTTGGAATAGCTAAAAGTATAAAAGTAACATTTGTTAGGAAGTTCCACCTTTGTTTACATTTTGTAAGAACAGTTTGGTTTTTTATATTTGTACTGGACAATTTCTAGGTGAATACTATGAATGAGAAAGCTTGCCTTACTTGATTAAAAATACAGATAGAGATACCTTACTCTCAAGTGTTGGTTTTATTCATGAAACAGTTGCTAAGAACAAGTTACTGTGCTTTGAGGATATCACATTATTTTGGGAACCTACATATTTTAACAGGCATGTAGAAAGGCACTAGTTTTAAATGAATGAAAGATTTTATACTGCTTTAGGGACATTTGCCTATTAGTTTAAGGAATGCACAAATCTTAATATGTCAAAAATAGGACACTATTTGTTCCTTTTCTTTATAACAGTGTTCCCAGGCCAAAAAAAAAGTGAAAAAATTAGCAGATTTTGGCATTAGTCTTTGTTCAATTTGGAATTTGGAATTTCAGCTGATAGCAGGAAAATTAGGACCCATTAAAATAGACAGTACATGGTTCATGCTTGTGCCAAATTCTTGATTGAGTAATGAGTTGGCTGCTTCTAATTCTTCACTGTCACTTCATAGCACTTCCATTTATGCAATATTTTCAGACTCAACTTGCTTTTGAAATGAGAAACAATTTTGGATGAGTGGCTTTTGGAAAGGAGCACATAACAAATAGCAAAGAGGGCTCCTATGTATTTTCATTACTATTCTTATTGAGGAAAATAAATTAAGCAACTTTTCACTGGCAGCAGGAGGATCCTAAGGTCTCCATCTGATCTTTGTCCATGTGAGGAATTGTCCTCATTCAGTACTTCACTGCCTTGTGAGGAGCTAGAAAGGAAGAGTTAGTGGAAGATTAATGTGATGGTTTCTCGTAAGTGGCAATCCAGTGTTACCTCCACTTTTCTCAGTAGATCGGTAAGTGATTTTTAAGGTTTCTCAGAACAAATTTTCTATTGTAGCTTCACAAGCTGGGAAAACATGCCGTTTTTAAAATCAGAGTATCAGTTTCAGAGACAGTGCTTTATTCCCTTTTATTGTTTATCTGGAAATGGCAGTGATGTCTTTACAAGGTTTGAAAGGAAAAGTGAATATTGAAATAAACTCACAAGCGGTTTTCAAAGTTCGTAAAGTTTTGTGTTTTGTTTTCAATAAAAATTTAATTAAGTTACGCCCTTGTGATATTGAGAGATGAGCGTGTGTTCTAGAAGGGCACAACTGTATATTTGGGATGGATAGTACTACTGTCGTTGTCTTACAAACTGTCTTTCTCAGTATCCAAACTAAGTTTTCAGAAATGTAGGTTAAAGGCTGCTTTTTCTCTCATTACCTTTTGACCTTTTCTACCTTCTGTAACATTTCCTGTTATCAGTTTTAGACTGTGAAGTATTTTTTTCTAGAGTATAATTTTGGATAGATCATGAATTGTTCAGGAAAACTTAATTTCTCCTTTAGAGATTCAAATAAATTGAAGTATTGTTCAACACATATGTTGTAAAATAATTAAAACTTACATTCAGCAGTAATTCTTGGGAATATTTGTTACATGTAGGAAACGGAATTGTCATTTTAAATTGTGTGTGTGTGAATGTATGATATTTTGCTCTTTGTAAAGCAGAGAATAACTCTAGGCAAATGCTTGGTTGATTGGATTCTTTACTATGTGATCCAGTAAAATAAGGACAATTATAGGATATGCTGGATACTAGAAGCCACTCAGAACAAATTATTTTAACTTTCTTAAGCTGAAAATTATCATTAGGAGACTAGCCTAACTGTTGGCTCTTCTGTAAACATAAAATAACCACACATATATTATTTTATTCTTTAAAAAAAATTACCTTTTAAAGAGAAAGTTACTGTTTACAGTATATACCTCTTGGCTATACGCTAGTAATCTTAAATATTATATGATTTTATCTGTTATATCAATTCAGATTAATAAGTTAGAGGAAGAATCTCTACATTCTAAGTTTTAATTTTCAGAAATCTGCATCAAAAGATTTTTCTTACCTTTTTGGAACTTTTGAAATAAATTAATGTTATCATCACCTCTTGAATGAGTTACTGTGGTCTTAATTTTATAAGCCACACAGTGCAGTGGGTAGTATGCAAGTTAAACAGACATGGTTCCTGCCTTCTAATAATCAGAAAAGTTAACCCCTATGATAGATTCTCTTGAAATTTTTTATAGAATTGCAATGAGTTTATTTTTGAAACAGTTCATTCTGATATGATATGAAATAAGTAGACTGAACTGAGCCTTTTGGCTCAGAAATTTGAGCTATTTCTAGATTCTATAGTTTGATTTACACTTGACCAAGCAAACCTTTTCAATTCAAAGATGACTCTTTAGCCATGATGCCAGAGATGTAGAACCATTCTCCATTTATACTTGTATAATTTAATCCTCAAGAACAGAGTAAATAGAAATCTTGCAGATATTGAAATGTGGGTTAATATTGAATTCCTTTTTCAATAACTAGCCGTGTGAGAAATATTTTCTCAAATAATGTATCTGATCTGAAGTACTGAGTTGTGATCTTTCTCTGGCAAATAAGAACTAAGGTGTGTGTTCTAGGAACACAAATTTCACAGAAATCTTTTGATGTGTTTCTTATAGGAACTGTTTTCTTTAATAAAGTAGTTGCTTTTTGAGTTAGTGCAGAGAATACAACTACTACTGAGTAAAAATAAGACTCATCAGAGTAGTTTTTATTTTTCAGATTATTATGTAAGTAAATTCCTAATTGTAGCATCCTTGAAAGGGTTAAGTGCCAGCAATTCGACTTAGTTTTATAGCCATAGTTTGAAGTCAATGTGGTTATTCTTTGTTCAATTAAGATAAAGATACTGATATTTCTTTATTAATCCATAAGTCTTTGAAACTTCTCATACTGTTTACTAACTAAAAAGTCAACTTATGGGCAAGTCAGATGACATGAGATATTCTAAAGTTTAGTAAGCAATTTTTATCAAAAGTTTGTCATTAGTCTATAAAAATTGGTTAAAATTTTCTCTCTCCTGTTAGTTATGGTCATCTACCAGCAGGGGTCACTTTAACTCAAGGACTTTTTTTACTTTTTTTGTCTATGGAATACAGTAGTCTTAGTCTAGTGTCCTGGAATAACATGGGAATGAATTTATAGCTCCAATTATTAGAATTTATGTACTTTCTAACCTTAAAAAGCAATGTGTGGAGTTTTTTCAACCCTACCCAATTAGTTTTAACATAATGGAAACAACCTCATCTTAACTCTAGGTATCATAACTCAGACTTCTAAGAATAGTAACATTATTTTATTTTAACCTTTTGATTATAGGAACTTCTGTTTAATTAGTTGCAATTATAACATTATTTCAGGCTCTAGACAAACTGTGTATTTAGGATGATGTACAATGGCTTATAAGTTGTCAGTTGCCAGAAGATCACAAAGTATTCTAGATGTTATTTTTCAATTTTATTGCTTTACTTAAAAGAACTTACTTATGACACAAATTGTTCGATTCTTTTTTTTTTTCTTGTACTGGAGATTGAACTCACAACCTCGTGCTTGCCAGTCAGGCACTTATGCTGCTGAGCTATATCCCTGGCATTATGATACAAATTGAAAGCTATTTATTAATGTCTGAAAAACCTGGCACTATTAGAACATGAAACTTTGAAGCTCTTGACTTGAATTTGACAATTTCAAAAAAGTCAATGTTAAAACACTTTTAATCTTGAAACCAAATTAGTTTAACCATTTTAAAACAGGCTTCTTACTAATATTTATCTCTCAGCATCAACTGTGCATCTCTATATAAGTAGTATATTGGATAAACAAGTGTATGTGACTAGTTTGTGAGATTCAGCTATCAAGTTAAAATCAAATTTTGTTTAACTGAATATTGGTGGCTGTGCAGTTCAGCAAGTTCAATGTTATTGTTCTAAATTTTTTAATTTAGAAATTCTAAATGTGCAGAATTTTTTTTTTTTGTCTTTTTTTCATTTTTATCGGTACCGGGGATCGAACTCAACTGCCTGCTTGAAGGCAGGTACTTATGCCGCTGAGCTAAATCCCCAATAAATGAAGATTTAATTATATTTTAATTGTTTTAAGGATTAAATGCCAGTAGAAACATTATACTAAATATAGTGTACTTTCCTCCCGTTTTCTCATACAAGTGTTTATGTTGGTTGTTTTTATTAGTAACACCTGCCTTTGATACAGGAGAAGTAGAATCTGGTTGGCAGTAGATGGAATTTATAAGCTGTTGGTAGGATTTTGAAAAATTGTTTTTCTAAAAATGAAAGGATGACTGTGAATTCTTTCATATTTTATTGATGTACTTAACCCAAACTGTATAAATATATATTATATGGCTATGTTATTTGTTTTATGAAGAAAGGAAACCTGGTATAATTAGGCTTCATAGATTTTATTAGAAGTTGATGTTCTTATTTTATTAAAAACATTCCAGATTTGTAGATGTAAAAAAAGTTTTCTTTTAGTATTTTGGAAGTGGGGAACATTTTTAGAAGCATTAAACTACAAAGATACTTTTATATCAATATTTGAAATTACTCAGGTGGTGAACTATTTTTTAACTATTATACTTTTAATAAGACTACAAAATACCAAGTCAGACAGTGGTTTTCAGGTAATTTTTGTTTCCCATGTGAATTTCAAGCTCTGTACAGTGTGTCCTAAATGATTCTTTTGGAGGTTGTGTTAGACAGTGGTATTCATCTTAGTACTTAGATACCGAGGTGTTAGTTTTATCTTTACTGTGGTGACAGTGAATAGACCTTGAACAAGTATTTTAACCTTACTGATTTCTGTGTTTTAATTAATAAAGGGTGGAATACCAGTTATGCTACCCTGATGGGGCTGTTTCCTTATTTGAAATAAAGACATAGGACAGGAGCTTGGAAACTATAGGATTCTTTAAAATGTGAAGTTATGAGACATATAATTACCTAATGCCATTTCTTAAGTCTTGGCAGTGGGACTTTTAAAAATGAATTGTCGTATCTTCAGAATCAAAGAAGAGTAAATAAATTGTTTAGCCTTCAAAATTAGAATCATATTTAGTCTTTTCATTGGGTGAAATAAAACTTGTATTTTTTGAGTTAAATATTCAGTTAAAAGCAAATGATAGTAAAATGTTTCAATGCATTTAAGATGTGTTTTTGAGGGAATCAAATTTGTGTTTATACAAATTTTATTGATAAATATGCCAAGATAAATGTTTTAAAAGTTTAATTTCAGTCAAACTTTTGTGGTCCAAAAGCAACCTCTTGTAAACTTCAACCATATCTAAACTCGCGTAGAAAATTAAAGTCATATTGAGGTTCAGCTTACTTACTTGAATTCTTTGGAAAAATTGTAGCTAACTTGATCCTTGCTATAGTTTGTTTAATAAAAAGAAGAAACTAAGATAGGAGAAAAGAGAAAGGATAGAAGGGAAAAGAAAAAAAGTGCAAGTTAGTTATACCATTAGTGTCACTTAGTTCACTGAATAGGAAAGGTTGTGCTAGTACTGATTGAAGTAATTTTTATGCCCGTATTTTGTACTTGAGTGACTAAAGATAATGATGTGTAATTTATTAACAATTGTTACTTTTTCATTATTTTGTTGTGAAAATTTGTTTTACCTTTTCTTCTTAATATTAATAAATAAAGTAATAAAAAATGTTTAGGATATTGGAACATTTTAGACTTCAGGTTTTTGGATTAGTAAGGTTCAATCTTTATTTGCTTTCCTCAGTTTTCTTTGCTTGCAACTTTTAGCAAGTGCCTAAATAAATAAATGTTGCAGTTTTTTATTTTCCAGGTAATTTATTCTTATAGTTTCATTGCTGTTTTCATGCAAGTAACCTTGAAAGAACTTAGAAATCTGGACACTCTCTGCATGCTTTTTCTATTTAAAATGGATTATGAGAAAGAATAAAAAGAAATACTGCTTGAATTGTCTGTAAAGACACTAAAGATAATTTTTCAAGTGCTTTTGGTACATAGAAATTTTCACCACCACTTCTTCATTTTAAATATGAGAATGTAATATAACATAGCTCATAAATGTTGTAATTCTTGGGGCACTAGTATGTGTAGAGGCTTCTCCTCACCATACATTTTATAGAAACACTGATGTTTCATTTGTCATGAAATTATATAGATTAAGATTCTTCAGTATAGGGACTGGAGCTTAGCTAGCGGCATAAGCACCTGCCTTGCAAGCAGGCGGTCGTGAGTTTGATCCCCGGTACCAATAAAAATGAAAAAGACAAAAAAAAAAAGATTCTTCAGTATATATTTAGGAACCAATTTCTTGATCTTTTAAATACAAAAGGAGACATTTATTTGTATTCTGCATGTCTAGGTTCTTATGGTATTTAATGAGTATCATAATCTTTTCTTTTTTTCAAACAGAGATGTGCTCCTGCATCTATTCGCCTCATGGACAACCAGCAGTTTCAGTTTGGTAAGTGTGGAGTAGTGATTTTAGAATCTTTTCATTTAGTACCAGACTTGCAAAGCTAGAAAGCAGAGCATCAAAGTTCTCACCTGTTGGGATGACTCCGTCCACGGAGGAGAGAGACACAGGTGATGAGCGCAGCAGCGCTGGAGACTGAGAGAGGCAGCTGCACCGTGTACCCTTAGTGAAGGAGGCTTTGTTCTGTTTGGTTTTGAAAATTAGCAGGTGGAGAGTTCAGAAAAGGCTTTTGAAGGAGGTTTATGCTTGAACTCAGTCTTAAAAGATGAGCTGGAGGTTTGCCAGAGATTGTATTTTCTTTTCTTTTTTGCAACCGAATGTATTTACTTCTCAGCAAAACTGAGAAGTTGTGAAGCTCAGTGGCATGTTGTAAGGTGCTTGAGAAGGGCTGTGTTCTTCAAATAGAGAGTAGGCAAAAGATGTTCCATGAGAGGAAGCTGAAGGGGCCATTTAGGGCTTTGCAATACAGAATTGGATTTTATCTTGTCAGCAGTAGGGTTTCTTTGTGGAGGGAATGAGATCAGTTAACTCTACAGTTTAGAAAGCTCATTCTGGCAGTATTTCTTAGGATGGATTAGAAGGATATAGACCTAGAAGAGATGATAGGGGGTGAGATAGTTTAAGAAGCAAATTTCCAAGGCAGGCGCTTATGCCGCTGAGCTAAATTGGGGCTGGGGATTTAGCTCAGCGGCATAAGCACCTGCCTTGCAAGCAGGCAGTCGTGAGTTTGATCCCTGATACAAAGGAAAAAGACAAAAAAAAAAAAAAAAAAAAAAAAAAAAGAAGCAAACTTGGAGTATAAACTTTCTTTGAGTGAAAAAGTAGTAATGGATGTAGAGACAATAGATTTTTTTTTTTTTTTTTTTTTTGGTACCAGGGATTGAATTCATGACCTTGCATTTGCCAGGCAGGCACTTACGCCGCTGAGCTAAACTTGCAGCCCGAGACCATAGATTTTTTAAAAATCAGTTAACCAACTGGATATGGAAGATTAAATAAAGGGGAGAATTGAGGACAATTCTCAGATTTTAATTTGCCTGATTGTATGGATTGAATAATAGTACAGAAGTAGAAATGGTATTTGAGGGAAAAGATACAACAGTAGGTTATATTTAAAGTACATTGAGATATTTAGGTGGAGAATTCATTAGGCAGTTTTGTTTCAAAACATTTTTTTTCTATTTTGGCTAAAGTATTAAACTTTTAAGATCACTTATTGATTATGTTTTCATTTGTATTTTTAATGTTCTCATATACTTTTAATATGCAGAAATTTACTTTGGAATTTAAGTTTATAGACTGTTAGTACCTTCAAAGTAGTTCTCGAAATTATGGGAATGATTGCTCAGTAGTAAAGGCTAAGGCAGGAAGATTTTGATTATGATATCTAAGAGTAGTTAGATTTTAATTTAGGAAAAAATATAAACTAAGGGAGTCAGGTTCATAACATATCCAGAGTTCGTTTTTAAATTAAATTCTTCTAAGTCAGTCACAGTTATTTAGTTCTTTTAAGTAAATTACTTTCAAAACACTGTAGTGTTGATAAATAAAAGTTAATAGTGAATATGCCCTATGAATAATGAGATAAATGCAAATCATGCCTTCTGTTGTTTGGGCCTATAGGTCTTGAGAAATGTGTTATATATTCATGTGTTAGTGTTCCAATAATTTATGTTATACATGGCAACCTTTATAAAATTAGCTGTAATTTGACCAGATTTTATTATTATATTTATAATTGAGACCTAGTTACAGCTGGCTTTTATCCTTGTTCTGATTCTCACTACAGTACTTATAGCATGCCTAGGTACTCCTTTCTGGCTCTGTGGTAGGCCCTCATCTTGACTGTGTCTTTTCTCGCTCTGCCCTTTACTGAGCTACCATTGTCCTACAGAGCTGATCATGCTTCTTGGTTAACTATAACCTTTTTCATTCCTAAGTGTTCTTTGAACCTTTTCCATCAGCAAGTTATCATCATGGCTTTATGATGAAGTAGCCAAAAGAACAGTGGTTAACTCCCAGGGTGTATCAGGACTCTGCAGGTAGCCATCTTGCTGATTCATCACTGCTTGTTAAGTACAAGCTGTACTATTAGTTGTTAATATTTTTAAATTCACTATTTCCTCTGGTGTAACTGAAATTGAGCTTAGTCTTGTCTGACTTCAAAGCCGAGACTTTCTGTTGTCTCATACCACTTCTTTCCTTGACTTATTTAAAAACAAGTATCACTTTCACAATAATTTATTCTTCAAAGTTCATATTGACTCAGTATTGTCAATATATGTGACTAATTCTCATTAGTAAAATGGAAATTACACACATAAATGTCAGTGGTTTAAAGTGAACATTTACCCTTAAGGATAATTTCATATTATAGAATTAGCATTTAGAGTCTTTATGCATTATACAAAGATATGTGGATTAGAAGACTTCCGTATCGTATAGATAATTTCCATTTTTTGCAAGAACACAATCCATACTCTCCTCGTTTATATTATTTCTAATTGTTTATGTAGATTAGTTCTATTTGGTATAGGAAGAGAATCTTTATGATGTATATTCCTAACTTTATATGTGCTAGAAATGGTATCTTTTTAAAGCATTGGTTATGCTGGAAAAGAATCTCTGGTAGGTTTGAATCAAAAACAAAGCCTACGGATCTTTTGTTTTTGATCTAGGATCAAGAAGATTGCTAGGTCTCTGTCTGACCTGCAGTTTGTTGCCTTGTTTTGGTAGCTCATAATTAACTCTTAGCTTCTGGTTGAGACTCACTTGGTCTTTTGTGTAACATAGCTTCCAATTATAATCTGCAAAGCTGTGGTTAACTATTATAAATTCAGGTTCTCAATTTAAAAAATAGATTTGGAAAAAAAAAGACTACCAGGAATTAAATATTGTAGAAACAGCTCCTTTGCTATTTGCAGTTATTTTAGAGGAAAGTCCTACACTTTAAGCAAAATCCCAAAACCTCAAAACCTTTTTTTTTTCAAATAAATTTTTATTTGGAGATAATTTTAGATTTACTAAAGACTTTAAAATTCTTTATAAAAATTCTGTACAAACGATCTGCCACATTGTTCTGAATTGGGCTTATAGCACCACAGTCAGTTACATGACTCTTAATGTAATAGTCACAGGAATTGAGAAACTGCTGCTTTTTGAAAACAGTGAGAAAATGGTAAAAGGTTTTCACTCAATTAAGCTTAATCCGCAGGCAAAGATGTTAATTTAACAGACTCTGAGACACCATTTATGTTATTTTGGCAATTTTAACTCTCTGGGTGTGATTAGGGAAGCAATTGCTAGTTTTATGCCAAGAATTCTGGATGAGTTAAGAATTAATTAAGAAACAACCTTAAACTTTGCCACAACTCCATATTTGGTTGTAGTTCTGAATGACTTCTATATAATTAAAAAAATTAAGCCAGCCATGATTGGATGTTCTTAATGAAATAGAAATTAATGAAGTAGTTTTACTCTATATAAACTATATCATTGGAAGATAACTCTATGTATAGTATTAATTACATATAGTAATTTGACTTCATGAACTGACAATAGGTTTTGTAAATAAAACTTGTTTGGCTTTTGAAAGAAGAGAAAAGTATATATATTGTATTAAAATTAGTCATAAAATCTTTAACTTTTAGAATACTGAGTTGAAGTAGCTTTTTCCTGTTAATTTAGTATATAAACTTTTTCTCTTATAGGTCATGCTCTTAAACCTCAGGTTTCTTCTATTTTTACATCATTTTTGGATGGATTGAAAAAGTTCTATATTACAAAGGTAAGGATTTTTATAAGATGCTAAAATTTTAAATTCTAAGTATACTGTATTAATTTTGTTTCTGCCTTCTTCCCCTCACATTCACCATCATAAGGATGTTTTTCCATGTTGCTGCATATATTTTATAATCACTTTTTATGTTGGAGTAATATTTTATCAAGTGAGTTATGCATTCCATTTTAGAAATTTCCTTTTTCTAGTTTTAGAGTTTCTAAAACTAATACTGCATTAAATGGCCTGATGCTTAATTATAGCATTTTCTAGGAGAGTGTGTGTGTGTTTTTTTAAACTTAGACCACTGGATTTCTTTCCTAAAAGATTACACTAACAGAAATACAAGTGTGTCATTTTCTTTGTTGTAGCCTTGTTAGTGCATCTGGGTTTTTGTTTTGTTTTGTTATGTTACTCTTTTTAAAGCATAAATTTATTTAACTGTGAGAAAACTGTTTTATTTTCATTGGTGTTTCTTAAAACTCCGGTGAGACTGAACACTTCTGTATATTTTAGATGTAATTTTTCTATGATTATTTTACAAGGATGACAGAATCTTGTTTCTTCTTGATGTGTTGTTCTGGGCCCTTTTACTAATGAAATTATTAGAGACTCCTTGTCATACATTTTGTAAGTAAATGTTTTTAGTCTAATAATGAGGTTTTCTTCTTTAGTGGTCATGTTTCTAATTTTCATATCTTTCCTTGTGATTATTGGCTTCTAAGCTTAGAATGGTCTTCTATTCTCTAGAGATATGATGAGGACCATTTGCGTTAAGTGAAAATTAAGTTTTTTCTATATTATTAAAATTTATTTTAATTTTATAATGTGAGATAAATACCTAAATCTTTATCTCCCTCTTGCTACCCAACTGCCTGCCAACCAGTTGTGTCATCACCATAAATTAACCGTTGCTTTGCTTACATTGATTTGCCATGCCTACGCCATCTTGTATAGTATTTATCCAAGAAATGCATTCCATTTTAATGTATCTTAATTCTCTTTAATAACCTTTTTATTCTTGAAAAATTAAACTGATACAATTTTAAGTCCATTCCCTCTCTTGTTATTCAGAATTTTCTTGTCATCACCATTTTTATTGTTTTAGAAACTTCATTTCAGAAGTTCATTAGAGTTGGAATAAACTAATATTAATTTGGTCAAGGATTGACAGGTTTGTATTACTTGCTTAATGCATTCTGGAGCATGTATCTTTCTTTAACATGTTTTTGTAATGAATTTTTAACTTTAGATTAGTCTTAGTCTAATGTTTTTAACTTTAGATTAGTCTTTCTTCTAATGTTTTGCACAAGATTTCTTTTTACATATGATCTTAGCCAAAAGGCCAAGAAGTGATAAGATTTCTTTTTAAAAACATATTATTTAGTAAGTTATTATTGCTACATAGAGATATTGTGGGACTTTTCTTCCCGTACTCCAGCTGCTTTGTTTTATCATTTTGTACTTTTTATTTGGTTATTTATTATAATTAAAATTCTGACAAATTATTACTTGTTTTTGCTTGCCAGTGTCATTGTGATTAACATCATGGCATATTTGAAAGATGTTTCTCCTATACTGTATAGTTTGTTACATTGTAATGGTCTGACAAGATGTGTTAAGTATTCTCGTTGATTGACATGTAAAGTTCTAAAGCTCAGTTGTTTAGAAGTCAGTTATACTAGAGCTCAGATCAGCAGGAAAAGGAAAATGTATTTGATTTACTATTTTGCAAAATAAAACTTATCTGTAAAAAAATCCCACAAAAAACAAAACAAAACAAAGGAAAACTAATCTGTACTAATAACATTTTACTTTTTTTTTTTTTTGTAGTTTAAGGGATTTGATCCAAATCAGCTAAGTGTAGCAACATTATTGTTTGAGGGAGACCGGGAGAAGGTTCTTCAACATGAAAAACAAGTGTATGACATTGCTGCAAAATTTGGGTATGGTTTTTAAGTTCATATTATCAAGAGAAAATCTAAAATTATGAGATTGCCAAATATTTATTAATGTACCAGGCATTAATGTCTCCAAATAGTCTGCTTCTCTCCAGGCAGTTACTAATTTGAATTTAGTATTAAATCTGTGGTAATTTATGATAATAAATTTAAAATACTATTATTGAGTTTACTTCTAAAATTTATACTAAGATTGATATGTATTGCTCTTGTCCATTTGTATATTTGTATATTAAATATTTTGTTGTTTAAGAGATTTTTATACTAATACCAATATTTGTGATATTTGTCATATGTCTGCTAGAATAAAATATTTGTTATATTTGTCATATGTTATGCTAGAATAAAATAAGGAAAAATTCACTGTCATGTTATTTAGTGAGAAGAGGGTATGTATAAAACATGCTATTAGTTTTTAAATGGAAATTATGTTTAATCCTTGATATTTGATTAATTATCTGTACTCCACCCCCTGTCACTTACTATTTTGTCCTGGTATAAAGAAACAGAGTACATTTCACACATATAACCTACTGAGTAATGATAGGGTGGTCCCTGTCCATCTGCTTGATGAATTATAAGATTGATCGATGAGAACTGTAGTGGAAATGCCATTTATCAGGACTACACTTTTTTCTTTTCCTTTTAAAGTACATAAATTGTTTTTTAGATATTAGTCATTACCTTTTTTATTACTAGAGTTAGACTATATCATATCCATTATATGAGTTCTCTACAAATACTTGTTTCTGTTGTATCCTCTTTAAATTTTTCAAAAGAAATTTGGAGCTATGTGCTTTTGACCGCTGTACTTCTTTGTCTCTTTTTCACATACAACTTCTAGGATTGTTTGAATTTAAGTACAGCATTGTTAGAGTGGAAAAATGGGTAGTCTTAACTTCATTTTTAGTTCATTTTTATACTGTTTTTGAATATTAAAAACTAATATATTAGATTTATCCTATTCTGAAATTGGCAAATGTGTTTTAATTTCTTTAGTAAATGACAAAGCTTGCTAGTTTTTCACCTTTTCTCTTACAGTATCTTATTTTGGAATTACTTTGTTTTAACTAAATTAGTTTAAAGTAATCGTGTTACAAAGATTCATTTAATGATTCAGTGGCTTGGAATTCAAGTTATGTTTTTTTGTTTGGAACTTTGAAATGTGTATGTTTTCTTTCCCAGAAAGAGTTTAGCACAATATCTACCTATGTTTTTTGTTTCTAAGTTACATGAATAATGTGATTATAAGGCTGTTTTTCCCTTCCAAACATGGTACAAGTCAGAAAAAAGTAACTAAGGAGATTTAAATTGAAGTCTTTTATGTCTCCGCTAGCCTTAAATATTAGGGACTGGAACTTTAAAACATTTTTTCCTTATACGTTTAAGTATTTAATTGGAATTTCAGAATTTTCCAAACGGAGTTGGGAGAAATTGAAGAGGACAGTTTTCTGTAGCATTTGAATCACTGATAGAAAGTTGAATTTACTTAGTTTTACCCTAATCTTCCCTACTTCCAATACACACACACACACACACACACACACACACACACACGAATAATTATAATTTAGAGTAGCTAGAAAACCATTGCTAGTTAGTAATGGCTACATTTCCTGTTTGAGGTAGGTTGACTGTAAAAAATGCCTATTTATTTTACCTTATAGTGTAGTATATGACATATTGCTTCTTGTGGATCATTACCAATGCTTGGAATGTGCTAGGTGCTTGATTAAATTTCTTTCAAATGAATTAAGCTAATGTAAGAAAATTTTTTCAATCTTTAGATATTTATCATTTTTGTTTGTGACCCTATGAGTATTAGTAATGCCGTTTTGGTTTTATTATGTAACTGTCCACTCACAATTTAAAAATAAATTCAAATATATATATCTTCACTTACTGATACTAGGCCCCAGAACTGTTGGTTTAACTCCAGCAATTTTGATTACTCTAAACAAAACTTATATAATTTTTATTCATTAAAATTAGTAAGATCAATTTAAAGCATACTATAGAAATGATCCCTGAAAGTATCAATTTAAAGCAGAGATAAAGTACTAAAAAAACTTTGGACCAGATTGGGGTACCATTTTGACTTATTTGATCCTTCTTGTTATGTTATAATTAATAACAATGTTCTTTAATTCTTTCATTTAGTAAGAAAAGCTGTTTTTAACAACCCCAATTTTCATTAGGCATATGATTTAGAGTTTTTTTTTATTTTTTAATACTTGGAAACGCCTTCTTTAGGTGTCTAGTGGAGGTCCTGGTCCCATACTCCCCAACCCCATTCTTTGTAGACAGTAATTTTTGTTCTAATTATTGAAGACTCAGGGATATTTTTCTTACTAAGATGTCACTGCCCTGCCCAATCCTGAATTCTCAGTCATTTCTCTTTTTGCTTAACAATTTGGAGGAAAGAACCATCAGGCTTCTTTCTGCTAAAGTTTTTATGTTAGTTTCACTAATGTATTTTATTTTTAACTAGACATTATTAATCTTTTATTTTTTCTTTGTCTTAGTCCTGTTCCATTGCTTCAATAGACTAAATTAATTGCTTTAGCAAAGTACTCTCAACATTTGAGAGTATTTTTCTGTGTTGTCTCAGCCATTGTTCTTGCCTTTCTGTTCTCACTCCCACACACTTCAGTACTTTTGAATACATACAACCCACTGAACATAGTGGCCAGATACTGAATAGTCATACTCCAATCATACATCCTATGTTTATCCATAATGTACTTTTACTTTGCTAAGAAGTGAGCAGAATAAACACTACCTGCCAGTGCTCATGATGGGTATTTTGACATTTACCATTGAACTGAAGGTAATATATTATCATTATTTTTAAAGTATGCTTAAGTTGTTTAACATAATTTAACATGAGAGTGATTAGGTTCGCCAGATGGCCCTTTTATATAAAATGATTGTCTCATTCGTCTTTCATTAGACTTCCTCATCTTTTCTCATGGAATACCTTTCAGTTTCAGAACCTTGTAAATTGATGTTTGAAGTTTTTGGGGAGAGCAGAAAATAGGGAATGCATGTTTCCAGTTTAAAGCAGTTTGAAGCTGTAGTTTTTTGGAGTAGCTGCAGAAGTGCCCATTTAGAAGCATTTAATTTCTAAGCCTTGCGATTGTTTATATATTACATTTTAAGGTAATTCTGGCTGTAAGTCCGACAGCTTTGAAAGCCTTACTGAACTTGCAGGAAAACATGATTCAGAAAGGCAAGCCCAGATTCATTTTTCTTCTTTGGGTTAATAAATTTAGAATAAACATCTAATTGCAGTTTCTTTCAGCTTTAGACTTTAAAAATGCATGTTTCTATGTTTGTTCCATCAGTTTCAGTATGGTACAGCTCCTTCTCCCTCAGATGTTATAGCACAATCTAAAGAACTGTAGCTGATCTGGGAGAGGAAGAGGAGGAGCATCTCATCCTGATGTATGAGGGCAGTGTGCTGAACTACATGGCCATACCTGCTCCTTCCACCGCAGCACACACTGGCATGCTTGTTTCCCGAGGTTCCCAGCATAGGTTTTCTTTCCTTTTCTAGGTTTCAGTCTCTTTTCCTTTCCTGTTCTTTCTAGGTCCAAGGTGAATCATTGATGTTCCCTAGATCTGTAGTGATTTTTTCTTGACTTTGTTTCACATCTAAGCACTTGCTATAGCAAAATCCTGACTCTTTTTCAAATATTATTTTGTGCTACCTTTAACCTTACATCCAGCCCAGAATTGTTTTTCTGTCTCTGCTTTTTCACTCTCAGCAACTTAACCGAAGTTCATTCTTGTTTGCTTCTTAACATTCTATTAATATATTTTATTTGTCCTCAAGTAACTCTAGACTGAAGCTGCTTGCTATCAAGTTTTCTCCACTCCTTCTGGATGACCCTATTGTCCACATATGTGTCCATAATAATAAAACAGGAAATCCTCAGTTAGCCTATATCTTTTACCCTGAAATTGCCTTAAAGTATTTGTATAGAACAAGAGTGTGTCTACCATGTATTATTTATGTAACATCAACTGTAACAAAACTGTAGAAAAAGGAAGGATTTAATTATGTCAAATGAGGCTATAAGAGAGGTGATTCCTCCTTTAGTTGACTAAAGTTAAAATTTATCTGCTAATGGAAAAAGAATAATTATTTACTAAAGGTAGTGAAAGATAATATTCATTTGTTGTTTTTTAAAAAGAAATAACTTTCATAAACCAGAGCACTTGGACTGAATTGTTACATGGAATTGATTCTAACTAGAATTTCAAATATAATTTCTATGGGAAAAAAACTATTTTCAAACTGAAACAGATAGACTATATGTCATAGTAACAAGACCTATTGCTCTTTCACTTCTCTGTGCATTTTTTAAACTTTAATATTTCTGTATATGTTTTGTCTCATTTAAATAACAAATTGCATAAAATAAACATATCTAACATATCACATATTATATGCTTAAGTGTTCAAGAAACTTCCTTGTATTTGGGACTTTATAGCTAATTGTCCCAGTCCTCTACCTATGAAAAGACTGCAATACAAATGTATGAGTATGAATATGCCACCAGTTGGGTATCTTTATCTGAACTGCTTGGGACCAGAAGTGTTTCCTATTTTAGTTTTTCAGACTTTGGATATTGGCACAGACGTAATAAGCTATCTTGAAAATGGACCCCCAGTCTAAATGCAATTTATTTATCATAGGTACCTTATGTGCATAGCCTGTAGATAATTTTATTCAGCATTTTTAGTGTACCTGCACTTTAATTTGGATTCCTCACATGAGATCAAGTATGAAATTTCCCACTGTGACATCCTATAGATGCACAAAAAAATCTTTGGGTTTTGAAACCTTTTGGATGTTCAGATAGAGTTGCTCAACCTATATGAATAAAATAAGAATATTTTAAAGTTTTTTTAGTTCGTTTCTCATGACTAATTTTTAATGCTGTTTTGGCAATACGAGATGTTGTTGACATGAATCAGTTATTAGTGTGATACTGAAAGTTTGAAATTAATATTTAGACTGAAATAGTAGTGTTTTTAGATTTTTGTTATCCAAGCTTATTTTCTTGATACTTTTTGATAAAAATGAGAGTAAGATAAAAATGAAATTGAATGTAATGTTTGTTAATCAGTTAGTTACTTTGAAATATCATCAGTCTGATTAGTTTTATATATTTAAATAGTTTACTTAAAACATACTTTTTTATAAATTACAGTGGATTAGCAGCTGGGGAAGATAATGGACAGAGAGGTTATCTGCTGACCTATGTCATTGCATACATGCGAGTAAGTTGTATTTCCCTTGTCACAATGTATTTTATGAACAATGCTACTTCTGTGAATAAAACCAGCTTTTTAATTTTCATAAAACATTTAAGCTACTGTAATTTTAGCACATCGTTTTATAGGAACCCTTGATTAGTTGTAACTCTTCAGAAGCCTCTTTAAATTTTCTGTGTAATTTGAGCTTACCTTTTTAAACATTAGTTGCTTAAAATCAATCTGTGTTATTCAATAATATTTCTTAATTTATAATTTTTTAAAAGATATATATGTGTATATATATATATTTAAGTATGTCTTTAAAATTGATATTAAACTTGTTACCAAGTTGTTATTGGTTCACTGGTGATGATTTTTATATAAAAATAATTTATATTTGAGTGCCAAATTTTTTCTAATTGTAGATTTTCCTCTTATGAGAAACTTCATGAGTTCATATTTATTTCAAGTTGGCTGTACTTACATTCTTTTGAACTTTTATTTCTTTATTTAGTTTTCCTGCCTTGACTGTAAAGATTTCTTAATCTTTTTCTGTTGTTACTGAATTTTTCTCCGCAGAATTACCTGTTGTGCAATTTAAATTATCTTATTCTGAAAGGTCATTTCTCAAGTATTCCACTGAGAATCTGGCTTTCCCTTTTACCCACTCTTTTCAATTTTCTGTTTCTTTCATCTTAGTGACCAGTTTTTATATTGGTTTGTTTGTTTGTTTATTTATTTATTGAGACAGTGTCTTGCTATGTAGGTCAGGCTGGCCTTGAACTAATTCTAATCTGTTTACCTCAGCCTCCTGTGTGCTGGTATGTTCAGGTGTATGTCACTATTTCTGGAAATAATAATTCTTCTTCTTCTTCTTCTTCTTCTTCTTCTTCTTCTTCTTCTTCTTCTTCTTCCTCTTCCTCTTCCTCTTCCTCTTCGTCCTCTTCTTCCACCTCTTCTTCTGAGACAATGTCTCACTAAATGGCTAAATTGTCCAGACTAGACTTGAACATGTGATCCTTCAGCCTTGGACCTCCCAGAGTGTTAAAATCATAGGTGTGTCACCACACCTGTCATTTATTTCTTATGCAGGCCACTAAAAATCTGTTCTGCTGGTCTTCACATGTACATGGAGATTTCCTAGAGAGAGACATGCCATTCCCTGCAGAAATATTTAAGTTCCTATTCTGTGTCAGGCATTGTGTTAGCTAATAAGGAATCAATACGAACAGAAGGAATCAATACGGATAAAGCTCCTGTCCTCAGGGAGGTTCTTTCTCAGGCACAGGGAAAACATGTGGTGCTCTTAGGAGACAGATAGGGATGGTAAAGAGCAGTTGAGATTGAAGCAGAAATATGTAATACTAACAATTACATGAAATACTAATATTTTTGATTATTGCATATGTTGTAGTTTTGTTATTTCTGTGTCTTAACAGGACCTGGGTTTGGAGTATTATATAATAGGAGAGTCTTTTGAGACTTCTGCTCCTTGGGACAGGTAAAATATAATAAAATGCTTAATATTATTCAAATATACATTATGAATTGCTGAATAATGTGTCTCTGTATGTCAGTATGTAAAACTTGAATATTTTATGAAGAAACTTCAAAACAGGATATATTTAAAAACATATTCCCTAGAATGCCATATTTTCAAGCCTCCTCCTTTGGGTGAGAGGCAACTTTGAGCTTTAGTTTAAATTCTTAAGTGATTTATATGTCTCAGTGTTTTCTACAATTTCTTGTCAAATTATACAACTGGTTAGTCTTATGTAATACATATTTAGCTTTTGATATTTGTATGTGTATGTATGTTAAGCTAGATCTTAATTTTGATTGTAATTTGTGAAAGAAATCTAATTTAAGTAAGTATAATTTTTATTTTTAAATTTAAGTAAATATATAATACTGGAAGATATTGTAATATTGTAACTATAGTACAGGAGAATTGGTTGAGATAAATATCTAGGTTTCTTCACGGGAAACTGACATACAGATACAAACACACATGCAAGTATTGGTTAGGAAATTAATAATAAAAGTGGTTAGGAAATGTGAAGTAGTTTTATTAAAAATGTACTTAGAATACTCATTCAGTAATAAAAAACTTTTTAAGGAGATGGTCAGTAGATTTTTTTTTCTTAGAGGATGGGTAGATTTTTCTTTAGAATTTACAAAGTATTTTATATGTACAATAAAGTACATGAACTGTAACACATCCCTCATAAATTCCCTCTCTAGATATTACATAACTTAACATTTTATTCCCTCTCAGTGTATTTTTGTTTTTGTTTCTGTTTTTCCTTCTAGAAAACTTTTTTAAATTGTCTTTTATCTGTGATGGGTTATGCTTATGGTACATTGGTACTCGTATTCCATGTGTTGTTAGATAATCACACAATTTATAACAGCACTCTATTTAACAAGGGGACTCTTACATACAAAAGAATTATCAACTCATTGATACTAATACTTTTGAACAGTGGAAATAGTATGGCAGCTCTTCAGAGTGGGATCAAAGACAGTTTTAGTCTCTAATATCTTTCCTTGCTTGGTATCTTAGTTGGGCTGCTACATGGAATATCACAGACAGAAAGATTTTACTTCTCAGAGTTCTGGAGGCTTGAAATTCAAGATCAGATGCCAGCATGAAGGCCATCTTGCTCATTTGTATACGTCCACTTTCTCATTTTACCCTCACATTGTGGAAAGCAGAGAGAGAGCAAGCCTTTTCAGGCCTTAAAAGGGCACAAATGCATTCATGAGAACTCTACCCTCATGACTTGATTACCTCCGAAAGGCACCATCTTCTAATACTGTCAATGTCAGAGGTTAGAATTTCAGTATATGAATTTGGATACAGGCAAATGTTCAGTCCTCTTATCACTGGAGATTGCTGTCTTACCTTTGTGTTCTCCCAATTGTGGAAGCTAATCATATGCCTTCTTTTTATTTTTCTTCAACCATTCCTATATATGTTTACATATTTACTTAACTGATTGATAGTTTCTCTTTTACATATTTAAGTTGTTTTACTTTAAAGCAGTTTCTTTACTTGAAGTTTTAATAACATTAATGAAACAGCTACTTTTTTAAATGAAAAATGTACTTGTTACCCATTTGGCAACTTCTTTTGTTTTTCTCTCAGCTAGCTAGTGACCATTTTTAGCAGTAACCTGAAGTACCAGGGTCTTCAGCTTAACATACTATTGGGTCATTGGCCTGTTCATACAAAAGACATGTAAGGAGTTAATCCATTTTACTAATCTTTGTGCATCTCCCAGTGGCTGCAGCACAATGATTAGGTGCTCAGTGAATAGTCTGTGTAGAGTCCTGTGAGTGAACCCTAGTGTGAGAATGCAGCCTAGAAAGATAGCTGTCCGTTGAGTTGGAGATTTTGTTTTGGAGATACCAGTGGGAGTCTTGTGATTAAAACTCATGAAGTAGATGTGAATACTTACAGCTAGTGTGGAATGAAGGGGAAAATAAGGTCTGTGCAAGAAGTGCCCAGAGCGTTGATGTGTATGGGATACTCATACAAACAAAAGCTGGCAAGAAGAGTCGAGGTATGATGTCTAGGAATTGAGTGATAAACCAAAGCCTGGGAAAGATTTTGTTTCAATAAGAAATGGTCAGCAGTACTAAGTTTCCTAATAGTTTAAGTAAGCACTAAAAAATATACATGGTTGTGTTTATGTCATAGGAGATGATTAGGCCCTTGAGCTATATTGAACTTTATTCAAGTTCTGAGAGAGAGTACTTTGAGAACTCTGCTTGCTACAAATTTTTAGGAAGTGTCCCATTGGGAATTTTAACCAGTTCTGTGTCTTTTCCCATCTCCTCTCCCAGTGAAGGTTTAGAAATAATCAGTTCTTAATATGTCTGTGTTTTCTATTGCATTTATGATTAAGAAATGCATTAAAATGCATTTAAACTGAAACAGAGTTAACCCAACAGTTTAATTTCCAAAGGACTATACAAGCAAACTGGTTGGATTAGTATCGTTAGACTATTTAGTACTTGTTAAGATTTTTGTAGTTATCCTTTGAAAACTTATTACTTTGAAAACTTATTACCAATTATCTTTTCTAGGGTTGTAGACCTCTGTAGAAATGTAAAAGAAAGAATAAGAAGGGAGTGCAAAGAGAAGGGTGTTCAGTTTCCTCCTCTTTCTACATGCAGGTGAGTTTTCTTGTTTTAATTAATAGTCCTTAGTCTAAAAAACTTTTTTGATCAGTGGGAAAAATGTAACATGCCAGCTGAGAAGTAGCGTCAGTCTGCTTCACTTGGCAAACGTTGCTGAGCACCACATACCTTGTTAGGACTGTGCCACCGTGGCCGTGATGAGCAGTGTGTCAGCTCCTGTAGAAGAGAAGGACTCCTTCATTCACTGAAACTATAAATGACATCTATAATCAAGAAAGAGTAAATTACATGCTTAATCAACACTGCTCTTTATCAGCAAAAAACCTTTTGCTGATTAAGTGAATGGGAGTGGAATAAAGGAATGAGAGAAGAAGACTCCTGATTAACTCAGTGCTCTCCAGTGGCTCTTCCTTAGTAATGGAAATAATTCTGTAATGGCAGAGTCCAGTATGGTAGCCACAAGTCCACTGTAGCTACTAAGAGATTGAAATATGACTGTGTGACTATGGAACTGAATTTTAAATTTTACTGAATTTAAAAAATTAATGTAAATGGAAAACTCCCTGTATGGCTAGTGTCTTCCTCACGGAACAATGCATGATCTTGTCCTCTTTGTTAAATAGCAGCGCAGAAGGTTTTTTTGAGAACAGATAGTTTGTATTCAGTCTGTTTTTATTTCTTCTCAAGTACCAGCAGTTGAAATGGATAAAATTAAGTTAAACATTTGATTTCTCTAGAATTACAGAATTAATCGGAATAGAGGATAAATGGAAATAAAAACTGATCATGGAAAGGGGAATCTTAACATAAAATGTGGCAACCTAGCATTTTGTGTTGTACAGCTGCGTCACTTTTTCCTCTTCTGTTTGTGTATATGAGGGATTCAGTCCCCAATATTATAGACATATTATTTACTATATAAAAGTGATTGAGTTAAGTAAATTTGGAAACACTGTATTTTTCTACTATGATCTGAGCCTTGTGCTAGGTTTCTAAAACAGGTATGGCTCAGCATTTTCTGTATGCCCATCTATCCTGGATTTAATATGGCTTAATTTAAGATTTTTTCTTACTTTACAGTGATTCAAAAGCATACTCACACAATCATTCCATTTTTCAGTACTATATTTACTAAGTTACATGAGATATTCAACATTTATTATAAAGCAGATGTTTTGTTGGATCATTTTACCCCATAATAGGCTAATGTGTTACAGGGATGTTTAAGGTAGGCTAGACTAAGCTCTGGTGTTTGGTAGTTAGGTTTATGTGTGGTGTGTGTGGTGTGTGTGTGTGTGTGTGTGTGTGTGTGTGTGTGTTTTGAGAAAGGGTGATCTTATGAAGTTCAGGCTGGCCTTAAACTCAAAAAGTAGCTCAGATCGATCTCAAACTCATGGTAATCCTCCTGCCTCCACCTCTGGAGTGCTGGAATTTACAGGCATGCACCACTGTGCCTGGCTTATGTGATCTATTTTCAGTTTACAGTATTTCCCCTTACTATGGATTTGTTGGGACCTAACTCCCTTGTAATGTAAGGAGTAGCTATATTTCTGTTCACTGTGTTGTTCTGTGACTTATCTGGAATTACTCCATCTCAGCCTGGAAAGCACACCTGAGCCTGTTCCACCTCAGGACCAGGGCCTTGCCACCCACTTTGCCACCATGACAGCTTTCTGCCAACTTTCACAGTTTTTTATATTGTCAGACTGCATTTGTCTGCTGCTTGTTCATAATTGAATCTCATCAGGTCTAATTTTCTCATGAGTAGAGTGTAGCAGCAGTACTATCCCTTGATTAGACTCTCGTAAGAATGAAACGAAGTGTATGAAAAACACTTTCAACCTGAAAGGGCTATACAAGTGACTAGTATTATTGTGATATAATTACATTGTTTGAGGCAAATGATTCATACTAGTATGAATAAGGAAAATTTAGATACCTGATTTTTCTCCTAGTGATTAGTCTTCATGAAAGCATCAGTTACTAAGCCTACTACTTACTTCTCTTGATAATTTGACATAGCATGATAATTTGCTTGTATTTTATAAGGCTAAAACTCTTTCTGTATTCTTTAAACTATTTTTTCTGTGTGTGTGGCTTTTTTTTTTAACATTGTCACATCTTGTACTTCCTGACTACCATATTGTATTCTATTTATGCCTCTCACTGGGAGAGATATCCTTTAGAATTTAGTAAGTTTTGCTCCTACAGGATAAGAAAGTAAAATTCTAACATGAAATCTGAGAAAATATCTTTCTTAATGTATTACTGTTCATTTCAACCAGGAGGTTCTTACAGAATCTTTCAGCTTCAGTGTTTGATGAGCATGACATTAAGTACCCAGTCAAGTCTGCATGCTTTAGAACAAGCATGTTGGGTAAAATCCAAATATAAAAGCTAAAAATGTGGGTTTTAAAAATTGTTGGCTACTAGCGAGGCAGGAAGATCACTGTGAGATTGAAGCCAGCCTGAGCTGTATTATGAGTTCAAGGCCAGCCTGAACTGCATAGTGAGTCCCTGTGAGTCAAAAAAAGAAAGGCGGACATTTGAGATGATGGAAGGGAAAATAAAGGCCTATTCTGTGTGAGAAACAGCTTACAACTTGGTAAAAGCTAATAATGACTTAGTGATTGACTTGGGAGAAAACCTTTCTAAATGAAAATGTTACTTTTTAAATTTGGGTATCTTTAAAAATGATTTTGAGTATCTTAAGTGATGGAATTAAAATTTAAATGGCATGAATGTATTTTAAAAAGTGTTAGATGTGGCTTTCTAAGACACAAATTGAGGTTTTCCAAAAGATTGTTTTAATTATTTAAGTTTCATTTATTTGAGTTACTGATCAGTTAGGCCCATCAGACTTTGTTGTGATTTTGGTAATATCTATGCAAAACTGAACTGTGTAATATACAGATCCTGAATTTGTTGTAAGGTGGCAATGCACTATTAATATTTAGTTATATTTTCTATGTATTGTTATTAATAATTCTCTGAGTAATGTGTATTTTTCTAAGTGCCATAAATTTATTTTATTCATTTATCCTTCAGATTCTGTTTGAATTTCATTATTTCTAAAGATCTTCATGGTTAAAATGGTCTCCATTTTTTCTTAATCTTTGTAAATCTGGAACTTCAAATGTAAACATTCAAGGGATTTTTTTATGAGTGTGAATTAACACAAGAAAAACAGCTGGCAAATTGACAGTAGCATAGTTAAACAGTTCATTTCTTCTGTTCTGAGGCACCTAACATTTGGCCTAAAAGACCATTAAAATTTTAGATTAGATTCTATTTGTATTGTGTAATAAAAAGAGTATTTCTTTTGTATTTCCTCCTTCTGTTAAATTAAATTCTTTGTGGGAACTCTGTCAATTGCATTTGGAGGTCTGACTATGATTATCTGAGTTCCCTTTTAAATGCTTTCTTAATTGCATTTTGAAGGCACATTATCTCATATGATTTAATAATCTTAACATTGTTCATATCTTTCATGTACACACATACAAAATGTATACATATGAGGTCACAGCCATTTTAAGTCATGTTACTGTATTTAATATGATCACTTAATGTGATTTTCAAATCCTTACTATTTAATAATGTAAACTTGATGATGATGCTGTTTTTCACTTAGTCTAATACTATTTGGTATTTGAACACTTTTCTCATTTCTGCGCTTTAATATTTGAGCTTGCAGTTACTTATGTTGACTTTGAGGAAATTTGGGAGACATAGCTGATCACCAAGTTCCATGTAATATGCTTGAGGACTATTTTTAGCAGCAGTATACTTACAGTTATTATTTTTTTTTAATCTTTACCGAGGGAAATGGAGATTTTATTAATATCAGGTCAACTGAGGAAACATCTGCATAGCTTTTACATTTTTAATTTTGGGGAGGATAATTATCCAGACTTACCAAAAAATCCCCAAAATAGTGCAGGTAGTTCCTATATACCCTTGACATATCTTCCTCAAATGTTAATATCCAACATAATTGTAGTGTAATTATTAAAAATGAAAAGTTAGTGTTGTTACATAGTATTAATTAATCTATAGACTGTACTTTACCATTTTTCTTAGTTATGTCTTTTTTTTCTGGCTTAGGGTTTCATGTAAGGTTATATAATTTATTTAGTTCTCATGTCTCTTTGGGTCTTCATTAATCTGGCATAACTCCCCACTCATTCCTTATTTTTCCTACCATCACTTTTGAAGAACATTGGTCAGTAATTTTGTAAGATGCCACTCACTTTTGGTTTGTCTGATACTTCCTTGTGATCAAATCAGGTTACAGATTTTGCTCAGAGTAACACAGAAGTGATACACCAGCATTGCACCAGGAGGAACACAACACTCAGACAGCTCATTATTGGTGAATTGAACTTGGATCACTTGGTTAAGGTGGTGGCTGCCTGACTTCAGGACTCTTTATGATTACCATTTTTTCCCATTTTATTTAATAAAAATTTTTATTTAATAAAAATTTCTCCTGGGGAGAAATTTTGAGATTGTGTAACTATTTTAGTTCTGATACTGTCTCCTAATGATTAAGCTCCATTAATGATTCTGGATCACAGTAATTATTATTATGATATTTCCAAATAGTGATTTTTATTTTTGTCATTCCTTTTATCAATTGAAATTGATTATAGGGAAATAGTCACCACTTTCTATCATTGTGGGCTCACAGATACTTCACTCTCTGGGTTATAAACACTTTTGTCATTATTCTCATTAGTGTTCAAATTCCCCCAGATTTGGCCATTGGAAATATCTATAAATTGGCATCTATGTCCTCTTGACAGGGGGAGAATAGTTTTTGAAGAGGAATAAAAAAGGCTGTTCATACTTGAGAAAGGTCAGTAATTGAGGCAGGTCATATTTTATGCTAAAATATAAGTTTTAGTGAGGGAAGAAAGCAGATCTGTGCCACCAAAGGTCCGTGAGCTGTAGAATTGGTACTAAATGAAGATGTATCTTGCCTGTCTCACGTACTAACCTAGCAGTGATAGCCATTGCTCACTGTTGCTTTTTGGATCTTGGCTTCTTCCTCATAGTCTTTGATTTTTCTTACTCCTGATGTTTAAATTGTGGCAATTTTCAGCTTACCCTTCCCTACTCTGTTCTCCATATCTGTTTGCCCACCTGTTTTCTCTGCTTCTAGATGTCTGATGTTTTACTGTCCTGGTTAATTGATCTTGTACCCAGAAATGTGCCATTTTTCTTACTTAACATATCTTTTATGCCAGTCATCAGTCAGGCATATCTTTTGTAGGCAGCTTTTCCAGCTTGACTCATTCAAATTTTCCTATTCTTTGTGTTTTGATAGCCTCAGCATTTTCTGTGTAGTTTGTATACTGATTTTCAAGCTACATTAGGACTATTAATGTTGTCTGTCTTTGCATGCATCATCACATGTTTTATCATATTGAACCCAGAATATCAATATTCTTCTCTCCTTTACTTTATATCATGAGATTAGATCATATATTGACTGTATAGGCAACTTAAAGTTTCTCATAGTGCATTTAAATTATCTCATGTGAAAAGAGTGTTACTGATACTTACTTCATTTTTAAATTACAGCCAGGAGTGAACAGTCGCCCGTCTCTGCACCGCCTCATACTTAAGCTTCAGTGGTTTACCTTTTTCTGCCCAGAATTTTTTAAGCTTTTGAGCTGTGAGATCCAAACAAATGAGAAGGCCTTTGTCCCGTGCGTTTTCAAAAGGTTTTAACTTTTGAAAGTTAGATTTTATCCAGATTTTTTAAATAATGAAAATTGATTTTAGTCAGTGTTTGCATGTTCATATATATATATATATATATCATGCTTCTGTCTCCACAAGCACGGGGCCAGTAAACAAACAAGTTTTCTGTTTCTCATCAACCCTTATTTTTCTCAAGGAACAAACATTTTATATCATGTCTATTTACTATGACAATAAAAGATACAATCAGAATCTGCATGTTGGACTTGATCTTTTGTTAGGAAAATATGTTTTCAAAAAACTGGAGCTATATTATTTGTAATATGAATGTTTAAGTGCTGTTTTAATATAATCACAAGACTAATTGTTATAAAATTAAATACTGAAAAGAGAAGAAAATATTATAGTATTACAGTATTACTTTTGTCAAGCTATATATACTTTTAAGTGTCATTTTTTAAGTTATTTTGATTGTTATTTTAAAACAACTAATACCAGTACTTACCTGACTACTTTAAATATTATTTTTACATGTAACTCCAGGTACCTCTAGACAATGAAACAGCTTCAATAAGACCCTAAAAATGGCATAATAGAATACTAATGAAATATGTACAACTTTTTGTTATACTTGTTTTAGTCATATGACACACAAGAGGAAGATTAAATGTGTGCTTGTAATACTGCCACTTAAAGTTGCCACTAAGTTGCTAGTGGTGATTTAAACAGAAGTAGTACCCTTTTATTTCCTGCTGCATTCTTATTTTACCTGTTATAAGCAGCAACTCTGCTTATAACAGAGACAGTCTGCATTCCTGCTGTGCAGCAGGTGGCTAATGAATGAGGCATCTCTTAAGTTAATCATTCAGGTGATCTTACCTTTTAAGTTTCTAGATGTTAAATCATTTTTTACTTTACATAAAACCCTTGTGGGGATTTTGTCTGTTTGTTTTTCAGGGTGACGCAGACTTACGATGCAGGTGCATGTATCTACTTCTATTTTGCCTTTAACTACAGGGGAATTAGTGACCCACTGGCTGTGTTTGAGCAAACTGAGGTAATTTTGTACACATGCATATAATAATCATGTTCTTTTGTTAATTTAAATAAATTTTAGTATTGTTTTATGAGTTTTAGTTTGACTCTTTAGTCACTCATGGTTCACGTGGCCTCTAGCTCATAGAAGTGAAGAGTATTTTTGTTACACTATATTATATACTGAACTGTGAGTCTAAAATTAATGTTCTATACACCCTTTGTGTGGTTGGTTGTTCCTTGTATAACAGCTGGTTAAATTATATATAATAGGAATTCTAGTGACTGTTGGAATCCTTGGTAAACTTTGGCAGCCTACCCATTTTCAGGTGTTGACTGGTGTTGAGATCAGCCCTCATGTTCTTGGTCTATGTTGTTGTAACATCATCATTCTATGTTTGTAAATTTAAAACTATATGTAGGCAATTGGCGTTCATTTGCTTACAGTTTCCATTGTATTTCTTAAGTGCCCCTAAGGTACTAGGTTTTTTTGGAGGGGAGGTGATACTAGGGTTTGAACTCAAGGCCTTTATACTGAGCTACATTTCCAGACCTTTTTTTTTTCCTGAGATGGTTTCACTAAATTGTCCAAGCTGGGCTTTGAACTTGAAATTCTACCTCAACTTCCAGAATGCTGGGATTGTAGGCATGTGCTGCCATGCTCAGCTAAGCTGTTAATTTTTATAAAGCCTTCTGTTGATGGCCAGTATTTCTTATTATACGTCTGTACAGAGCAGAAGTAATAGATGAAACTGGAGGATCTTGGAGGAAACAAATTTCTTAGGAAGTCAGGTATTCTAGTGTTTTAACTATCTTCTGTGCCTGCCAAAGATGGTACCTATAAGATAATTTAAGTGGACAGCAAGCACACTTTCAGATCCAAACTGTATAGTTTGGGTTTAGCTGGCTCCTTCTTACCCCTGTCTTCTTCTTTTTTTTTTTCTTTGTGAAATATAATTGAAATACCATAAATGGTATATATTTAAAAATGTCTAACCTGTTGAATTTTGACATGTCTACACCTGTGAAACGATCACCCCAATCAGAATAATATATGGCTGCTTAGTGCTGTGGTGGTGGTGTCTAAGGTCCCTTTCTTGCAGCACCACAGAGTGACACTGCTTCCTTTCACCCAGTCTGTTCTGTCATTCACTGGGTGCTGCTGATCTCGAGGAATTACTGCTTCATTTGGAAGAAGTTGTTGGATTTTCTAAGTTATTAGAGTAGAGATCAGCATAGTTCTGGTTCTCTTGGTAATCCCGAAATCCGCAGGAATGAGGGTTCTTACAAATTACTGTGCAGTGTGAAGTAGTCCATCTGTCATATGAGGACCCTCTTTTTAGGGTTAAAACAAAGGAAATAAAGGTTTTTGTTTTTGATTACACACACGCAGAGTTTCGTAGAATTGGCAGCTGATGATTTGTCCCGTATTACTGATCTAAAAAATGGTCTCTATAAAGGCTTTTATAGTCAGTCCCTAACACCTTTATAAGTAATCTTGACTCTGATGACTTCTGTATATTAGACAAGTAATTGAATTATTTAAACTTTAAATTTCTTTTTCTGCGTAATGGAAATGATTATAAATACAGTCTACCTTGGTGCACAAACTTGATTTTTTCCACAGTTTGGATCACAAACAGTTGGATGAGAACAGAATCAAATTTGGTTACGTTTCAGTGTTGACCATATGGGGAAATTTGATTCAGTTCTTGCCCCCAGTTCATTTTGCAACCAGGATCATGCATGGAATTGAGTTTGTGAAATGAGGTACCACTGTGTTTCATAAGCTATAATGAAAATAATTAAATATTGTAGGCAAATTGCTTGGTGATGTTCCAAACATTCAGAAAGTAGTTGCTAAAAGTATGTTAATAATGTTTGTTGGTATGCGATGTTTACTGAAAGTAGAACCTAACTCTACATTTACCCCCTTTTTACTGATTTAATCATTAATTTGGTGTTGCTGAATTGGTCATTTGCATTTTTTTCACTTCTAGAATCTTGAAGTAAACTCTGTAGGTATTGTGACTATTCACTACAAAAAGGTCTTATAGAACTGGGTTGCATATTTTAATTGGTTTTGAGACACAGTTAATCCAAGATGGGGGAAAATTATAGTTCTAGTTTGTTGTCTAACCCAGGAAGTATGTGCCTCCTTTGGGAGCTGGGTTCCACTAGCTCCACAGTGAAGTGTAAGTAGCAATGATATGTTGTGTTGTTTCCAAATACAGGCAGCTGCTAGAGAAGAAATCCTTGCGAATGGAGGGAGCCTGTCACATCATCATGGAGGTATACTTTTTTGGGGGGTGTAACTTAATATTCCACTGCTTAAAATATTTGCTTTATAAAATGCTGGGGAGAGTCATGATGTAAGTAATTTGAGAGCCCTTGAGATTTCTCAGGCAGCTTTAGGTCTGAGAATAGCCGTGACTGAAGTAGGAGAGGGAGGTTATGGAAGAACCACCAGACACTTGTTTAACAGAGTTACCTCAGTGCAACCTGGCCACCCTCTGAGTTCTGGAACTCCAGGTTACCGGAGGATAGCAAGGTATTTGGTCATTACACTGTGATTTTTTTAAATTGGGGGAAACTCCATAAATGTTTTTCACCCATTAATGAAATGCAGCTGTACATAAGTTGTACATATATTGAAGGGCTGTTTGTTCTGTTCACCTAAAACTCAGCAAATTAATCAGGATAGGATATAAAAAAATCTTTTTCTTCAAGATTTTGATTGTTTTGTTTAATAAGTATCAGGTTTTATCAAAAATTTATCACATCACCAGTAAAACTGAGTATAATACACACGAGACAAATCTACCTCTGTTACTGGTTTGCTTTGGAAAGTAGTATGAGAGTCCATCTTTTAAAAGTTAAATAGTGACGACTCTGTAATTAAAATGGTAATTTTGAACTTACTAGTTCTGTGTAACAGAAATTTGTTCTTAGTTTATCTCTCCATTTAATTTTATGCTTAAAAAATGGAAATGTATAAATTTTTAAATCTTTATAAGTAATTTTTAAACAAGAGCATAAGGACAAATGAGTACTCAGTTTAAAAATTCAATTCCCATGCGAGCCCTGGACTCTTTTAAGTCTTCTTTTCCTATTTTATTTTCATTCATAACACTTAGTAACATGCTGTGATTGTATTTTTAAAAGTTATCTCCTACTAGAGAGTCAGTTCTTACCCAGTTCATTTTGCAACCAGGATCATGCATGGAATTGAGTTTGTGAAAAAGGAGAGAATGAGTGTCCACAAGAATGAGGCTTTTGGCTCTGGGTACTGCTGTGTACCAGTACCCGGAATGCTTGGCCCAGTCAGCCTCTCTGCTCACTCACTCAATGAATGACAGATTATTCAGTTTTGGGCCCCAAACTAAATGATGAAAATAGTGCCCTGAGAGGATTTTTTCTTTTGTGTGTGTGTGTGTGTGTGTGTGTGTGTGTGTGTGTTGAGGTTTTAACCCTTTGTTATTTATGATGTGATGTTTGCTTATGCCTTTTAATATTGTATGATATGGTTTCCATTTTGCAAATATCCTTGGTATGGTGGCCTTAATAATTCACTAGAGTAAAATGTTACATTTCAAAAGCCACTGTTCAAAATGGTAGGATAGTGATAACATCACACTTTTTGATAAGCACTCAGTGACTTTAATAAGCATTTAAATGCTGTAAATACTGAAATAGAGCGAAGAGAGGGTAAAAGAATTATTATTTATAAAGCTGTAAGTGTTTGTTAGGGGCTCTATACAATTTAACCATCTTTAACCTGCTAAAAATGCAGCGAGTAGATGTTATTCTTGCCTTTCACATAAAGATATGGAAATGCTTTAATTGGCCCCCAAATCAATAGTAATTGTTAGGGTCAGAATTTGCATTTGAACTCAGATTCTCTTGCTTCTAAAACCTAATCCTCTTAGCCAAAAATACATGGAATGATTAAAATCCTAAAAAAAATTGAAATTTATAGCTTTGAAAGATACAAATAATTTTAGAAATATAAGAAGAAATATAATGCATTACTTTTTTCATAAACATGTAAAGCTTCCTTTACTTTTGACATTGTCTAAATACCTGCTGTACTGTATATAAAACAAATAAATGAACTGAATTTTAAATTAACTTATCACAGATATTTTCATTGTTTTCTGAGTTCGTGCCCATATATCCATTTTACTTTCTGATCGTTTTTATATTTCCTGACAGTAGGCATCTTAACATGTCAACAATATCATTAAATAAAACAACTATAGGTTAGATCATGTTACAGTGAAATCATAGTATCATTTGTTTAGAAGTCTAGATTAAGACTCCAAGTTTGGTGAAATTAGTTTTAAAAATTGTTAGAGTATTCTGGCGCTTTAAAATTTTTATTTTCTCCATGGTCAAAAATACAGTATATGGAAACAAATTCCAAGCTACCTGATATTCCTTAGTCCTTATAGAAAGGAGGCGGGGCTGAGTTCAACGGTTCAGGTGCACTGAGCCAGGAAGGTGTTTCCTTTCAAAGCTGCTCAGGATTCATTCTTCTGTGTTCACGTCTTTGGGATTACCTCAGTCCCCTGATTTAAAAGTTCCTCTGTGTGCTCCTGTGTGCTGATGACACTAGGTACCAAAAGACATCACTCTTAGAGCGCCTCCTTCTTTCAAATTTGTCTTCTCCCCCAGGGTCATGAGGGGCTTCCTAATCGGGCCATCAGCTTCCACGCTGTGGCTGTGCTCTTCTCTGGGCACACTCAGGGATAAAACCCAGACTCCTTATCAGCGCCTTTACATGGTGCATCTTTCCACCTCTCTTCCCGCATCTCTGAGTACTTTTTCTCTCTAACGGCCCTGGTGGTCTAGCCATTCCTCAAACCAGTTGTCTTTCCCTTGAAGGCCTATTTTAGTTGTTTCCCTTTTTAAACTATTCTTTCTCTAGTTCTTCTCCCCACCCCAATACATCTGCATGGCTCTCTTTTTTTCATCATTTAAGTCTCTCATAAAAATGTCACCTTCACAGAAGTGTCTTCCCTTTTTCCTGTGCAGTTGCTGTGTTCCCCACTGGAATTCAGTTCAGTGGGGTTACTGTGTTCCCCACTCTCTGAACAGTGGCTGCTGCGCTCCACGGCTCTGTGCTGTGGGTGCTCATGAGTGTTAAAGGAGTGGTAAGTGCAGTCCCAAGTGCCCAGATCTGGGATGGTTTCACCAGTTTCCAGACAGCTCTGGAGCTGTCAGATTGAAATGGCAATAGTCTTATTGCTGACTTAACTACAAACATTTAATAACAGGCCTTGTTCGAATATAGGATCACATTTCATCATAGAAGGCCTCGGTTTATTTCATAATACTTCTGGGAAAATATATTAGCAGCGCCAGTTACTTATAGAAAGGCAAAATGAAAGAATGTACATTTGTATGCTGCTTTACCATAATTTTATTGTTCTACACTAGATGCTATATTTATTTAGAGGTCAATTCAAAATTTTTCTTAAATGTTAGCTTGAGGGGCTGATAAATAGCACAGGATATAGGCTTTGGAATCAAATCTGTATTAGACTTTTGGCTCTGCATTTAATTAGCTGTGTGACCTTACAGAAATTTCTCTGAGCTGCAGTTGTCATCACCTGCAAAACAAGAATACTGAATAGTACCTACCTCATAGACTTACTGTAAGACTTAACCATAACTGTGATAATGAATGTAAAACATGTAAAATGGCTTATATATAAATAGGTGCTTAAAAATTTGTGATGTCTTGCAGCAGGAGGTGGAACTCTGGTTTCTATTTTTAGTCTCTTATCCTAACAATTAATTTAAAAGAGCTGTACTTTCAAGAGATATGATTCAATAGTAGTCTTAACACTTTTCATCTTTAACCTGCAGTTAGTTTCACTCTATAGGAAGATCTTTTAAAATCTGTATAAAGGAAAAATAAATTTCCTTTACAGTGTTGGCTACAAAATGTTGTAGAAGAATATCTATTTTTTAAATAATAGCTCTAAAGTTAAAAATCTAATTGTAAATTTCAAATGTCCATTGATATCAAGTATAGGTTTCTAAAGCAGAAACTTTTCAGTGTGAATTTTAGTTTTATCTTATTAAACGTAACACTAGAGCTTTCAAAGTTCTATTTCTATTTGTACAGAAAATTTTTCAGACTTGTAGCCTGAGCTGAAAAGTCAGTAACTTCTGAGTAGCATCTTGATTTACTGACCTTCATTTCACGCAGTGTCATGACACCCTGAGTACCGTTTTTTGAGTTTCAGAGTAACTAGAACTGGGGGTTGGTAGACTATCGATGCAATTTCTCTTAGAGGCTTGGCCTGTAATTGTGATTAATAACAGTTGCTTTCACTATCTGGAAACAGACAGGCTGGTTTGTCTGCTTACAATCATGCTGTGATAAATGGAGCTATTTTAACTCTGGTTTTGTGTATCAAAGAAAACAGATGTAGTCTGGAACTGGAGGCAATAGGAAATATAAAGCCTGCTTAACTTAATCTTCATAGTGCTTGTTTTTGTAACTGACGAGCTGGTCAGTTTAAACAGCAGAGTTTATTTAAGCCACATATTTAATTTCAATTTATGACTCAACTTTTTATGTTGTTCATTTGTTAAAATTATTCTTAAGTCCTTGTAGGAAGTAAAAAATACTTGATTAAGTATTACCAGTCCAAGTTTAAATATTGGTGTTTCTTTAACCCAGAATTATTTCCTATTAAAAGTTCAAGGCAGTGGCTCTTAGCTCTTTTGTGATTTTAAAAAATTATTATATAGTATCAAAAACTTTTAAAGTTAAAGAAGCCAAAGATAATTTGAGATCATTTTTAAACCCTGTGGTGTGAAATAAACAGCATACCTATTGGCAAGGAAGAAATAAAACCTATTGGAAAGGAAGAAGTAAAATATTACATATTATTTATATAGGAAATCCAAAGGAATGTATAAAACAACATCAGTGAGATTATAGAACCCAAGATCATACACACAAAACAATTACATTTCTATATGTTAAACAAATGTGCACACATCAAACCTAAGAATTCCATTGGTCAAAAGAATAAAATAAGGGTAATTGTAATAAAACACAAGGCACAATTCTTAACAAAAAATATATAGGGCCTATATTCTAAAAATTACAGAATGCTAGTGAAAAGTACCAAATAAAAACTAAACAGAGTGCTCATGGATTGGTGGAAAACTCATTGTATTAAAAATATCAGTTTTCTTCAGATTGATTAGTTAAACACATTTCCTATCAAACTTTCAGCAAGAATTCTTTTTTGGATATAAGAAAGATT